GTTGCTGATGACGTGTGTATGCTACCGCATGCTGAGCTTCTTTCCCACCGTACGTCGCCAAACCGTGCTCATCCGAAGTGCGGTGTGGGGAAGGACAACAAGCTAGAAGAAGAAGAAGAGTAGGAAGCACTTCGCTGATGATGCTGATGCGTGTCGTGGGGAATAAACCACCACTCTACACATCCTTAGCGCTGCCCCCCCCCCCCCCCCCCACCACATTCTAATACGAACAATAATAGAAGCGACGACGTTTCTGGCTACGAGCCTTTTTCACAGCAGAGAGGAAGGGAGTCTCGACTGCTGGCAGAGCTTCTCGTGTGCCACTTCGCCCCGCGTCGCAACTCACGGCGAGGCATTGACCGCGGAATAATTTAGAAATCGGTCTGCATTGGGGGTTGTACTGCTCTCCGCCATCCGTTTCCATCTGTACGGGGATTAGAGTTGTTGTCGTTCGGGACGTCGCGTACAGCCTGGGGGAGGTTTACTCCGGGCGCTCCGTGTGTTCAACAGACAAGGTCAATCGTCGTCCTACGTGGCTGCATAACCCGCCTTAGAATGTGTATGGATCGAGGTCCTTTGTATAAGCAGCAGCTTCAGGAGCAGGACCCTCCCTGTCAAGGAGTCATGCGACTCGGTAGCGTGGCCCTTTCTGGATGAATAAGTAAACAAAAAAACCACGTCAATTACGAGCCCGAAACCCCCTGGCTCGTACAACAGCGTGTGGCCCCTTACCATGAACAACGTCTCGCAGCTGTGCGTGAGCCAACAGCATGGAGGCAGCCAGACCGCCTCCCCTACGCCCCCCCCCCAGCCTCCTCTACCCCCCCCAGCCTCCTCTACCCCCTCCAACGCCTCCCCTACCCCCCCCAACGCCTCTCCTACCCCCCCCAACGCCTCCTCCCCCCGGCGCCTCCCCTACCCCCCAACGCCTCCCCTACGCCCCCCCCCAACGCCTCCCCTACCCTCCCCAACGCCTCCCCTACCCCCCAACGCCTCCCCTACCCCCCCAACGCCTCCCCTACCCCCCCCCAACGCCTCCCCTACCCCCCCAACGCCTCCCCAACCCCCCCCCAACGCCTCCCCAACCCCCCCCCCCAACGCCTCCCCAACCCCCCCCCCAACGCCTCCCCAACGCCTCCCCCCCTCCCGGCGCCTCTCCCGATATCTCCCCTAGCCCCCCCAACTCCTCCCCTACACGCAACGCCCCCCCCCCCCCATATATCCTCTACCTCCCCCCCGCACCCCCCCAACGCCTCCCCTACCCCCCCCCCCCCCTCAACGCCTCCCCTAGCCCCGCCCCTCAACACCTCCCCTAGCCCCGCCCCCCAACGCCGCCCCCAATACCTCTCCTCTCCCTCTTTCTCTTCCCACTCCTCCATCAGGATGCCCACTTTTATTTGTACGGCCCTTTGCCAATCCACTGCTGGTCGAAGGCCTCCCTAAGCCGTCGAGGTAGTCGTCGAGACTTAGCTTTGACCATACTTCACCGCCCTGGTCAGTTGGTGAAGGATTTGGGAGGTGAAGGAATTGGGAGTGGAGGGAGGGCGGACGTGTGTGTGTGTGTCGTGCCAAAACCGGTTCAGATATTTACTCGCTCCTGATGTTTGTTAACCGGCGGCAGGCGATGGAATCGAACTCAGGTCGCCCTGTTCCGCAGTGCAGTGCGCTAACCATTGCACCACCGCTCCAGGGAATTATTTTTGGCCGGGGGATATCCATATCGCCTTATTTTGTCATCATTGAACCCTAGATGTCTGTAAACCTATTCATAAAATTATAGGAATAGAGGCTACAAATATTCTAAGGAGTATATATATGGGCAGCTTGTACTCCAGTGGTAGTGCCTTACGCCGATAATTATCCTTGCTCCGAGCCAGCCAGCTTAGCAACGTTCCGAAAAAAATATATAGAGTGAGGAATGAGGACCTCCTTATATGTAACCCAGTGGTTTCTGCGGTGGTGTGATGTTGAGCACCTTGATCGCCGGTTCGATACGATCCCCCGCCGTGGCAGATTAAACATTGGAGCAAGTTTCTCAAATCCACACCCCCCCACCTCCTGTATCCACTGAGTTGTGTTAATGGTTACAACCACAGTTAAGTTGTAGATATGTCCGTTGAACTTCTTTCGCACCTTACGTATACAACCGTGCTAATCGGAGGTGCGGGGCAAGCACAGCAAACTAAATACACGCACACACAAAAAACACAGGTCTAAATAGAATCTTGATTTGAAGCTTTCGTGACTGCAGGAATCCATACTCTTTGGTTCTTTCGGTAAAGTAAGCAGACATCGCGGCTGTCGCGATTTTCCCCTTGAAGACGATGGCTTGCGTTGCGATCGAAACGTCGTGATTCATTTTGTTTTTATTTCTACCCACGTGACTTACCGAAAGAACCAAAGAGTATAGATGATTTTAAAAGTGCAGAGCTCCGGTGGTTTTACCTCGCCAGACACGGCGGGTCACCTGCAATGGGGTAAAGTGTGGGTACGTGACTACGTCCGTACGTCCCACCTCTTTCTTCCAACACGTCTTTACCACCATCATCATCATCATCACCATCGTCGTCGTCAGTACAGCCACACCTCAATTGTTCCATGCCAATGATGATGATGATGACGGTTGAATGTTCCTGATTTTAACAACCATTATCAGCATCATTTACCAACGTCACCATCGTCGCAGCCGCACCTAGACAGCTCCCGGCCATTGATGATGATGATGGATGAATGAATGCTCCTGATGATGATTATTATTATCATCATCATCACCATCGTTACCATCGTTCATCATCACCGCCTTTGTCACAGCCACACCTACACCGCTGTTGGTTAATGGACTCGGCGTGTTTGCTCCGGGCCCCACGTGTGTTTGTGGAGCTCAAGGACAAACAGTGGCCCTTGCGTAATGATTCACTATTATTTTGAAGTCAATATAATTTGTTAAACACGCGACCATCCGGACCTCAGAGTTCTCCCACAGACACGGATCGGACACATCAGAGCTCCAAACATTTCGCGTGTCCATATACCAAGTTCGCTCTTTTTTCCGAGCTTCAAACTTCATGAAGGGGATCTCAGAGTTAGCTCTATTATGTCCGCTTCTGCTAGTCGCATCTCCAACATGCCAAGTGCTCTCATATACTGTGTGTGGAACAGCGATCATTTGAAGAAGGGGTCTCAGATGTAGCTCTGTGATGTCTGCTTCCGCGAGCTGCTGTCTAATAACACAGAGGGTCTCGCTAAAAAAGGCGACACGGTGGCAAGATGTTAACTACCTCGCCCGGTATACATGATGTCGTGGGTTTGATCCCGACCCTGACACCTGCTGCTGTATATTTGGAGTTCGCATGTTCGCGTCTATTTTTCTCCAGTTCCTCCGGGTTTTCCTCCACATTTAGAATCAACGTGCGTTTAGAGTATCTGGCTGATGTATATGTCCACATGATGATAAGCCAGCAATGTTGACCTACAATTTGTGGCCAGGTCGCTTCTGAAAAAAGAATCAGACAGCTCAGTGGGGCCTTGCCTGGTAAAATACATAACTAGTTTAGTTTTAGTTGAGAAAGTCTTCACATTTCTCCCCGATCTCGCTTGTGGGCATCGCGTCATCAGCAGACGGTGAATCTGTGCGAAAATGTCGGAACTCCATTCAGAACGGCCTGCGGAAGTGGATATCACAGAGCTGCCTCTGAGATCCCTTCGCAGTAGGGAGCCACGCTTTTCCCATTCGCTCTGCCACTGAGGGTAAGTCTATACTATTTTACCGCACGACAGCTGGAATGTATCCAAATGAAGCGCACAACCAAATGCAACGTGATTGGTTTCGTTTGAGCAGACATTGGTGACCAGCCTAAGACCCACTGCATTGACTGAGAACACGGTTTTAATCAGTCTACAGGTCTCTGTATAATTCTATGTAGTCTCTATGTAAGTTACTGGGTCACAACGTGAGTACTGATCTCGAAATCTATGGCAGCCTATCTGTGTCTGTGTCATACTGTGGGTCTCAATTTGTGGGGAGCGGTAGTGTAGCGGTTAGCACACTGCGATACGGACCTGGCGACCCGGGTTCGATTCCCGCTCACGGCCAACACCGGTGACGATTATCTGAACCGGTCCTGAGCCTCCCCTAGGTCGACTCAGCCTCAAATGAGTATCTAGTGCGATGTGTAAACATCGCCACTTGGGATACAAAGGCGGCCGGGCGTGGTGTTGGCCACCCACCCTCTTGTGTGCCGTACCCTGTCGGCCTTCATAGGTGCTCGCTTAACAGCACTTGCCCCTAAGTCTCTTACAGGCTATATGGGGTTTGATAATTGTTTTTTTACCCTTTTATCTGGCAACAAAACTGACACCTTTTTTTTACAAGGAGTCATGTTTACATTGACCACAATACCTGCGGTCGGAACAGAAACAAAAAACAACAACTCTGATAATGTATGCACTGTCCTTGAGATTGATTGGTCCACACCCTAGACAGCTTTCTTTAGAGCCTCGTCTCACATGGTGTTGGACCAGAAGACGCCAGTGCATACATTATCAGAGTTGTTTTTTGTTTGCGTTCCGACCGCAGGTATTGTGGTCAATGTATACATGACTCCTTGTAAAAAAAGGTGTCAGTTTTGTTGCCAGATAAAAGGGTAAAAAAAAACAATGATCATATTTTGTTACTGGCAAATGAGGTTTCCAATGGTATATGGGGTTTCTTTGTCTTTTTGTCTCTATTTGAGTCTTTGGGTCTCTGTGTAAGTTTATAGGTCTCTACGGGAGTCTATGAGCCTCTTGTTCCGTGGCTCTCCAAGTCTCTAAAGTCTTTGGATCACTACGTTGGAGCAACGTCGACCCGACGTTGCCCCAACGTTGCTCCGACGTTGACCCTACATCGTTCCCCAACAGCCGCACGCCTCTCTCCCTCTCTGTGCGGTACGCGGCTCACGCTCGCCGCCCTCTCGTCTCTCCCCCCCCACCCACCCACCACCGCCCGTGACCTCCGGCAGCTCCAACCGCGTGGAGCGAGTGGACGGCGGCGCTTTCGCGGGCCTCACCGCCCTGCGCGTCTTGGACCTCAGCAACAACGCGATCCGGAGCGTGCACCCCGCGGCGTTCTCCGGCCTCGTCTCCCTGCAGGAGCTCATCCTCAACCGGGCGTTGAGCCGCGGGCACCGTCGCCACAACGCCACCTCGGAGTCGCCGCCGTCGCCGCCGCCGCCGCCGTCGCCGCCGTCGCCGCCGCGCTCTCCGTCCGAGGAATCTCCGCCGCCGCCGCCGCCGCCGCGGCCGCCGTGGCCGTGGTCGTGCCTCAACGGGCTGTGCGAGGCGCTGCGGTCGGGCCGCCTGCTCGCCCTGCAGCGGCTATCGCTGCAGGGCAACCGCCTGCTGGTGCTGCCGCCGCGCTACGTCCTGCGCTCGCTGCCGTCGCTCGCCACGCTCGACCTCAGCAACAACTCCATCTCGAGCGGCGTGGGCGCCGACTCGGGCCTCGACTCGCTGCCCGCGCTCACCTCGCTCGACCTCAGCGACAACGCCTTCGCCTCGCCCGACGCCGCCCAGCTGGAGCTCCTGCGGCGCGCCGCGCCGGGCCTCGCCCTCCGCCTCGGCGCCAACCCGCTGGTGTGCGACTGCGACATCCGGCCGTTCGCCGCCTGGCTCGGGAACGCCACTGGCTGGGTGAAGGACGCCGGGCACCTGCGCTGCCGCCACCCGCCGGCGCTAAGAGGCCGCCCGCTCGCGGAACTCCTCCCCGGCGGCGGCGGCGGCGGCGGCGGCGAGGAGGAGGAGCCGCTGCTGCCGTGCGCGGGCAAAGAGGTCCCCGCGGCGCTGCATACCTCCTACGTCTTCCTGGGTCTCGTGCTGGCGCTCGTCGGGCTGGTCTTCCTGCTGGTGCTCTACCTCAATCGGAGGGGCATCAAGCTGTGGGCCGAAGGGGTGAGGGACCTCTGCCGGGATCACATGGAGGCGAGCTACCACTACCGGTACGAGCACGAGGCGCCCGAGATCGGCGGGGACATGCGCAGGCTGTCGGCGACGGCCGAGGCTTGAGACGGAGCTGAGATTTCGGCGGGATGGACGGATGGAGATGATGACGGTGGTGGGGGAGGAGGACGAGGCGACATGAAGGGGGAGAAGGCAAGAGATGAGCGGAGATGAGCAGACAGGTGGAGACGTGGAAACGAGTTGAGTGGACACACACGAGGAGTTGAGAGAAGATAATGGAAGATGAGATGACTTGAGGATGTCCCGGAACCAGGACGCAAAGATAAATTCACGATTTTCTTTTTTTTACCGGATTAATCATTTGCCATCCCTGGCCTCCCTCGTCGTGGTGGTGGTCGGGAGCCGGGGGAGTGGGGTTCGTGGTGGTGGTTGTGGTAGGGGAGGTTGATGCGCTGTATTTCCATCTTCATGTGGAGGTTGGTGAGTGAGCCGGAGGACCAGGCTTGTGGGGAACGTGTGACACATTGCTTGCGAATGATGGTCATGGGCAGTGGGGTTACTCTGGTATCTATGGTTTGAGATGTAGACTCACGTGGGTATTCATAGACTCGCACAGAGACCCATAGAGTCACGTTGACCCCCCATAGACTCACGCAATAGAGACCCAGAGGTCACGTGGGAAGCTGCGTCACTATGGGATCCATGGTTTAAGATGTAGACTCACGTGGGTATTCACAGACTCGCACAGAGACCCATAGAGTCACGTTGACCCCCATAGACTCACGCAATAGAGAACCACAGGTCACGTGGGAAGCAGCGTCACTATGGGATCCATGGTTTGAGATGTAGACTCACGTGGGTATTCATAGACTCGCACAGAGACCCATAGAGTCACGTTGACCCCCCCATAGACTCACGCAATAGAGACCCACAGGTCACGTGGGAAGCGGCGTCACTATGGGATCCATGGTTTGAGATGTAGACTCACGTGGGTATTCATAGAATCGCACAGAGACCCATAGAGTCACGTTGACCCCCCCATAGACTCACGCAATAGAGACCCACAGGTCACGTGGGCAGTGGCGTCACTATGGGATCCATGGTTTGAAATGTAGACTCACGTGGGTATTCATTGACTCGCACAGAGACCCATAGAGTCACGTTGACCCCCCCATAGACTCACGCAATAGAGACCCACAGGTCACGTGAGCAGTGGTGTCACCATGAGGTCATCAGCCCCTGTCCGCCAGTGAGCCGTGTCCAATAGAGCAGCAAAGATGCCGACGATTTATTTTCCATTAATCCATCCTGTCAAGCACTACCCGAGTCTCAAGACTCTCTTCTTTTTCAAGATAGTCCCGCTCAAGGATTAATTTCGCGACAGATTTTGGGGGGCGGCGGATGGGTGGCGGGGGGGGGGGGGCACGCGACTCTTAAGCGGGAGCCACACACATCCACGGCACGAGGTGTCCTGGATGTGGTGGGCCGCGTGCGGAAACGCCGCGTAGGTCACCGAACCCGGGTTGAAATTAAGCCCTGGGGGCACGCCAATGCTGCTTCCTAATGAGAGTCTGGCTCCGTGTGTCGGAGGGGAGGGAGGTGGGAGAGAGAGCCAGAGAATCCCGGAGAAAACCCAGCACCGCGCCTGCTGTATAAGGAGGAGGGAGGCAGGTGGGGGGGGGGGGGGTGCACCACTCCCAGCTCCGCACAGATAGATTCAATCACCTGTTCCTCTACTGGCGTCTGCTGAACACCGTACAACCATTTGTCTGCAACGTCGCTCGGTGTTGACAGGGCAGTCTTCCGTCCAACGACTAGGCAGGCTGAGACCTGCTGAGCTTCCGAAATCCGATGCGATCGGGCACATTCAGGGTGACTCGGTATTCGTCTGTAAGTATATGCTGTATGTAAACGGTCCATAATGAACGTTCGAACGCACACACATGTAGTACTCACATGTTGAGAGCTCTCATTTACCGGGGTTTTTAACGTTTTGTCGAATCATTCATTTCCACGCATTCATCACCATCATCATGATAACCACCGACATCATCAGCTTCATCGTCATCACCACCACCACCACCAACATCATTAGCTTTATCATCAACATTATCAGCTTTATCATCATCATCATCACCACCATCAGCAGCGTCATCATCATCGCTACCAACATCAGCTTCATAATCGTCACCACCATCAGCCTCAGTAATCATCATCAACATCATCATCATCATCATCAGCTTCATCATCGTCATCACCACCAACGTCATCAGCTGAATCATCATAATCACCAACATCGTCGCTGTCTATTTAGGTTATACACATAGCCTGTTATAAAACGCGCACAATGCTCGCGGGTCACGTGTGCTTGCAAAACGGATGCAGACGCTGGCTCTGTAATACATCGAGCTTGAGGAGTGCGTTACTCCACGAATGAGCGAGAGATGGCGACGACTCGGGGAGGCCTTCATCCAGCAGTGGAATGATCACGGCTGTTGTTTGCTGATGATACTCGACCCTCCCTCCCCTTGAGACTCAGTCCGCCAAATGCGAAGATGAAAAACCCAAAAGTGACTTTCAGCTCAGTGGAGCATTGGTGCAACGGTACCCATCTCCTGTTTACAGCTCTGAGGCAAGCGGTGGAAATTCCACGTTCCTGTGACGGGGGCGCGGCGGGCGGGTGGGTGGGAGCGAGCCTATCCATACGTTATAACAGCCGGTGTTGACTTCACGACGAAGAAAGCGGTGCTCCGTTTTATCGACCTCTGAAGAATGATGGGCGGACTCAACGCAAACTCACCCCCCCCACCACCACCACACACCTCTTCCCCCAACTAGCAATAAGTCCATTGATGGAACACAGACATTCCACTTAAGTGAGTTGCAATATCTCCCGTGAAAACAAAATTGGTGGCACCCGGGTAGTGTAACGAGCATGGAGGCAGGCAGGCAGGAGGGGGGGGGGCCTTTCCAAAGCTACGAGTTGGGGCCCCCTATACAACCACCATAAGATTTATTTGCAACATTTTAGCAATGAAAGTAAAAAAAAATTGCGGCGTTAAATGTTCGAGACCGTGAGCGTAACGACGACGTGGTTAGGGCGAGAGGAGCCGCGGTGAATCGCAGCCTCTAGGTGCGACCGTGCGAGACAAATGAAATGTCGGGGGCCCCACCTGGCCGAGTACCGCATCCCCTGAGCTGATGATGTCGTTACTACGCCACTGGTAGCAACCCTCAACTCTTGGCGTACGGGAAGACCTCTGACGATTTACATCATTATCATCAGTCAAACATGGTCAGTCCACTGCTGGATGAATGCCTCCCCCACTGCCGTGGCCATCCCCTTCACCGTGCCACGTGAATGCTCCACAGTCCAAGTCTCATCGCTCCATCTCCTCCCGGGGTGGAATTTCCCCTCCGACCGACGCCCCCTTCCCCCCGGACCCAGGGTGACGAGGGTAGCCCATTGGCTGGGCGCGGTTGGGACGAGCTCAGGGGAGAGGAGGCGATTGGTCAATCGAAGTGCTGCCAATTTCTTCTTGCGGGGCGGTCGGCGGCGACTGGGGCGTAATCGAGGTGCATCGGAGCCGCACTAATCGGGGTACTAGAGGGGTGGGGTGGGGTAGGGGGGAGGCCCATTTTGGCGACCTCGTATCGACTAGGGTCTCTTGCAAGCGAGTGGCAACAGTTGTTATGTGCGTGGTTGCCCGTCAGAGGTATTTGAAGAGAAAAAAAATGCGAATTCCGCCTCTCACTCGGCGAGGAACGGGAGTCTCCATCCCCCTGGTTTAAGTGGTGGACTCTGTTGGAGTGTGGATTCGTGGTCGGTGTGAAGTTAAACGGACGGAGGTGCACATTTTGCCCGAGACTTCAATGGGCGACTGTTACTCGCAAACAATTGCGCGTGCGTGTTAAATGTGCGTATGTGTGTGTTGTATGAGCGCGTGTGTGTTGTATGAGCGCGTGTGTGTGTGTGTTGGAAGAGCGTGTGTGATGTGTGCGTTCATACGTGAGCGTGTAATGCGTGTTCATATGAGGAGCACGTGTGCGTGTGAACGTATATGCGGACGCATGTTACGTGTATGCGAGTTGTATGTGTACATGTGTTTGAACGTGTGTCTGTTTTTATGCCGTTCCGGCCTTCATAGATCCTCACTAACCGCACTTGCCCCAACAGTCTGTGAAGGCTATACGGGGGATCTTTGTCTCTGTGTGTGTAAATGCTCGTGTGTGTGAGCGTGCTGGCCACATGTGCTGGCTAACAGCACTTGATCACGCGGTCCAAGTAGGCAGCACACGGGGGTGGAGATCTTTGTCTTGTGTGAGTGCGATGTGTGTTCGTGTGCGGAGCGGTGACGCAGTGGTTAGCGCGCTGCGCTACGAACCCGTCCGCCCGAGTTCGACTCCCGCTCACGGCCATCGCCGGTGACGATTATCTGAACCGGTCCTGGACCTCGCCTAGGTTGACTCAGCATCAAATGAGTACCTGGTACGGTGTGTAAACATCAGCTCACCACGCCAAACCTCAGCATTAAATATGAAGCGTGAAGGTTACATTGTACATTAAGACAAAGGACCCCCTCCCTATAGCCTTTACAGATGTTTGGGGAAAGTGCTGGAAGCGAGGCGGGTATTCGTGAGTCCAGAACCACGCCCGGTCGCCTTTGTCTTCCCCGGACCAGGTAAAATACTCATTTCAGGCTGAGTCGACCTAGTGGATGGGGGGGGGGGGAGGCTTTAGACAGGTTATAAGATAGCCGCTGAATATTAGTCGTGGGCTAGCGCAGCGCTAACCACTGCACATCATTATCACGCTGAGATACGAACCGACACATTGGCACACGACCCACACGCGCACCGCAGATAGGCACCGCTGTGTCCGAGTCTGAATTGGCATGAAATAATGAATTAATAATAGCAACTTCACTCCCCCCCCCATACTGTGCAGGAGAAGACCCCACTCGCAGCTGGGCTCCTGCTGTGCAACGCGTGCTGCGTGGGGCGGTTGCCATTTGGGGGGGGGGGGGGGTGTGGAGGGGTCCCCTTAGAGCGATGTTGCGACGCTCGGGAGATGACGACTCCACGACTCCACGACGCGAATGAATTGCAAGCAATTCCCCTACCGACGACGATGACGAAAACAACAACAACAACAGCGGCGGCGGTGGTTGCCGTGCATCATCACCGAGGTAGCGGTGACATCACCGCGGCGCTTGTGCCATGGGTTGACTCGCTTTACGACGCGTCTTGAAATTACTTTGGTGGGGGGGGAGGTGTCGGAGTGGTTAGCGCTTATGAGTTCAGGGCCAACATAAGTGGCGTGGTGTGGGGGGCATGAGCCTTTGTGCAATTAATTTAATTGGGGGGGGGGGGGCCCTGTATAACCTCTCTCTCCTCCACCCCCTCTTTGTATCCCGGAACCTGAGTGCCCAACGCATTCGTGCAGTTGCACCGCCTACACACTCGACAGCTTAGGAGTCAATGCGTTGGTGAAGTATGGTCAAAACTACCACCCACCCCCCCCTCCACCACTCCGACCCGCCCCCCACTATCACCACCACGACGGTTGGGAGGGAGGCCTTCATCCAGCGGTGGATGGAGGTGCACGCACCGCTGGTGCATCTCGCGTCGATGCTGCTCCATCGATTATTTAAGTGGACGAGGTCTCGCGCGTCGAGCGATCAATTTGTTGGGGGGGGGGGGTTAGGGGGGGTGGTGTTTTGTAGAATTTGTGCGTGTCCCCCTGCACCTCGGGTGACGGCTTCACACGGCAGCCACTGGAGGCCGCTAACGCTCGCCAGTTGAGAAACAAACACAACAACAACACCAGCAGCAGCAGCAGCAATGGCTTCTTGCATTGAATCTCCGGGGTTGTGTCAGTGCCGCATCAAGGCGTGGGGGGCTTTAGGGCGGTGTAAAACATAGCGTGGGGGGGCTTTAGGGGCTGCGACCTAGGGCCCCTCCGCTAGCTTGAGGGCCTCCAGAGATGAAGTGAAAAGTTTTTTTTATTTTATTTTGTGAACGCTGAATTTTAATTTGCTGTTAGCCTTGTGTAAATATACATTTTATGTTTTCCTTTAACTTTGTTTTCCTTTTGAAAATATTACTGGGGAGGCCCTCACAGTACCTGTAGCACAGGGGCCTACAACATCTTAATCCGGCCCTGGGTTGTGGTTACACTCCCTACCGTCATCTTCCGATTCTAAGGCGCACTTTTCGCCGTGTGTTAGAAACCCATCGGTGGGGTGCGTCTTATAATCCGGTAGCTGCGTGCGTGTGTTCGTGTGGTGAGCGGTGGTGTAGCGGTTAGCGCGCTGCGCTACGAAACCTGGCGACCCGAGTTCGATTCTCGCTCACGGTCATGGGCCTCCCCTAGGCCTACTTAGCCTTAAATAAGTACCTGGAGCGGTGTAAAACATAGCTAATGGGGATACAAAGGCGGCCGGGCATGGTGCTGGCCACTCACCCCCTCGCGTGCCGTTCCGGCCTGCATAGATTCTCGCAAAGAGCACTTGTCCCTACCGTCTGTTACGGCTGTATAACTTCATTGACAGGGGTGGGGGGCAAAAAGTGTTGGGGGTGCGTCTTACTTTCCGGAGCGTCTTCTAGTCGGGAGAATACGGTACTCAAATCTCTCACGTCTCTTCTAACGTCCACAGACATATATATGCATAGCATGCTTTATACAACATCCCATGATAATGGGAATAATATAACAATATTTATAACTACGATGATGACTTTTTGGAAAACTGCATGTGTCAAGAGGTGTGTGTGTGTGTGCACGTGCTGGTATCAGCGAACGCATGTCAAAACTGACGCTGCCGATTTGAAACGATGAATGGAAAAGTCGACGGTCGTGCGATTGTGTCCATGCAACCCAAACTGTGGACCATATAGTAAACCCATAGAGGCGCATAGAGATGCATAGATACTCAACAGAGGCCCACAGAGACACATCGAGACACACGGAGAACCATAGAGGAAAAATAGACACCCAAAGACATGCAGACACTGAGCTACAAGGATACAAATAATAGGTCAACGAAGTGGCTGATCGTGTGTGAATTTATAGCAGCCAAATACTCCGAAATGCACGTTGATTCTAAACGTGGAGGGGAACAACCCCGAAGACTCACAGAAAA